TGCTGACAACAGCTCCGCACGTGGTTTTACGCCTCTGTCAGAGGGACGTGCTTGGCCAAAGTTTCAGGTGCTGCAGCAAGGAGGATCTGAAATGCACCAGCAGGGCTGTTGCGCGACAGTTGTGCTGCAGGGCAACTGTACGGCTGCACGAGTGCTGCTACACACGCGTGTGCAGCAGTGCTCAGGCTGTGCACGATGACGTTACCCAGGTGTCCCATAAGCTCACTGCTGAGCTGCCACTGCCACGCATCTGCCACCTGGCCTGCAGCCTTGTGTGCGCCGCGGCCCCCCCCCCCCCCCCCAGCCTGTGCTCGGAGCCAGGGACCGGCACTTCCAGTGCTTCCCCCGTGTGCCTCGGCTCAGCTCCAGGCAGCCAGTGCCAGGGGCCCAAGGGGCTTCGCGGGGTGAGATGCGCAACCCTGGGGCCTCTCTCCTGTAGGACCGGGGAGCGACCACCCTGCCAGCCTGCACCAGGATGGGCAGGTCGCTGGGTCAGCCGGCTGCTGACCTTCCCTCCCTCCCTCCCTCCCTCCCTGGGCACAGACCATCATCTCCCCCCTGGAAAATGCCATCGAGACCATGATGAAAACGAATGAGAAAATTACGAGCGAGATCAACCGACACCAGAATGACCCCAGCCTGCCCATCAACCCACTCTCCATGCTGCTCAACGGCATCGTGGACCCTGCTGTGATGGGTGGCTTCGCCAAGTACGAGACGGTGAGGACATGTGGGTGCTGTGCCGGGGCTGGTGACCGCAGGCACTGGCACCACTTTGCGCCATCCCCTGCCTGCACTGAGCCGAGCCAGCCTGTCAGCGGGACTGAGAGGGGGTTGTTGCAGGCCTTTTTCCAGGAGTCCTACCTGCAGGAGCACCCTGAGGATGAGGGGAACATCGAGAAGCTGAAGGACCTGATCGCCTGGCAGGTACGGCCCACAGCATCCCTCTGGCGTCCGGAGGGGACGGCTGCCCCGGCACACCAAGTGCCAGCGTCCCTGTCCTGGGGAGCCCCACCAGCCCAGGCAGACCCATCCCCGTTCTCCCGCAGACCCCGCTGCTGGCAGAGGGTATCCGGATCCACGGGCGGAAGGTGACGGAGGACCTGCGGCCCTTCCACGAGCGCATGGAGCAGTGCTTCGTGCAGCTGCGGGCCAAGGTGGAGAGCCAGTATGGGGTGCGGGAGATGGTGAGTGCCAGGGCGGTGAGCACAGCGCACCGGTGGCACGTGGCGCGCGCGGGGTGATGCTGGACAAGCCAAGGCAGGTTTGGGGCAGCAGGGAACACCTGGATGGGGCCGCAGCTGCAGCAGCAACAGGGTGAGGGGCACTGTCTATGGGGGACCTTGGGGTCCCTGCCTGCCCTGGGTCGGGGGACAGCACTGCCGTGGGGTGGCTGGTACTGGCACAAAACCAGGACTGGGCAGAGGGCACTGCTGGCCCTGGCTGAGCCAAGGGGAAGAGGGGGAGGCTCTGCACTCTCGTCCCTCCTGGCTCTCTCTCAGGCTCCCTGTGCTCTCAGGTCTGCTTCGAGGACCGGCGGAGTGGACGACCCCGGTCCATGGTCTGGGGACCCGACTGGGACCGACTGGGCCATGCTGGAGACAGGTGAGTGCTGTGGTGGGGAGTGCTGGCCCCAAGCCACCCTCTTTCACCACCCTCAGCCCTCCCTGCTGGCCCCGCACCGCTGAGCCAGCCTCACTCTCCTCCCCCCCAGACGCTTCTCTGCCACCTCCCCAGTCCACTGCCCTCCCGGATTCCCTTTATGCCAAGCTGCATCTCGGGGGTCCATCCTGCCATGCAACCATGGTGGCCCTGTCCCCATGGGGGGCATGGAGCAGAGACACCCCGTGTGCAGCCCTCAGGCTCCCCTGGACACCGCTGCCACCTGAGCCATCCGTGCCTGTCTTGCTGGCTTGTCCCCCCAAGCATCCGCTGCTAAGCTCTGCTGGAGATGGTGCTGGTGCCTGGCTGAGGGCAGCCGCTCCTAGCCACGGCCCAGCTGGCCCACGGCGTAGCCCTGCTCCCCGTACCCCTGCCGCCCACCTGCCCCTCACCAGCCGCAGTTGCTCCACAGCACGGAGGCAGCCCCGACCCCAAAGCCTGCCCCTCGCAACTCCGAGAGCGAGGACCGCAGGAACGAGCGCAAGGAGAACCGCTCCAGCACCTTCTTCGGGTACCGGCGGCAGGACCCGCGCCAGTCCATCTCGGAGCTGCCAGAGCCCAAGGTGACGCTCAGCACAGCCCTAGTGCCTCCCCGGGGCCCCGCTCGCGCTCCCCCAGGCATCCTGCTGCTCCTGGAGCCCCCGCCCAGCCGGCAGCACCAGGCCTTGGGGCAGCCGGGACCCCTCGGGGGGCTGGTGGCAGCCCCGCTGCCGGGCGCAGCCAGGACAGCAGGGAGGGCAGGAGCAGAGGCTGGTGGGGCACAGGGCTGAAGACCCAGGGCTGCGGGCAGGGGCCACCTCTGGGCTGCGGGCAGGGCGCTGTGGAGCATCGCACCCGGCCAGAGCCTCCTGCGCTCCCTGGGCCGCAGGTGCTGCAATGCAGCCCGGCCCCCCGAGGCGCTGAGCCTCCCCTCTGTGCCCCAGGATGAGAAGCGGAGACTCTCCCGCCACATGAGCGAGACCAGCCTGGGCAGCTCCGAGGGGAAACAGCCCCCGCCAAGCCGAGATGCCGCTGGTTCTCAGCCCAGCTCTGCAGGTACTCCCCACTACAGCTGCCAGCTCGGGGCGCCGTCCTGGCCCCTCACGCACCCCTGGCATGGCTGGGGGGGGCACCTTCCCTAACCTCCACAGCCCCAAACTGCACCCGGCCCTTGTCTCCATGAGCAGGGCCGTGCCCCCACCCCAGCACCGCAGGTACCAGCACCCTCGCCCCTTGCCCCATCCCCACAGTGGCACAGGCACGTCCTGCAGCCAGGAGCGGGCAGGGAGGACTTGGTACCAGAAGCACGGGCAGACCCCACGCGGCTCGCGTGTCCCCCACCGAACACTCCCCGTGGAGCTGCCGGTCGTCGATCCCAGACCTTGTGCCGCTGGGTCTCGGTGCCAAGATCAGCTCCCAGCGGGAGCCAGCCCCCCATCCCGGCTGGGCTCCTGCCCTACACCACCCCCAGCCTCTGCCCAGGGTCGTCATGCTCCTGCGGGCAGGAGAGCTGGCCCTGGGAGCCCAGGGCACCTGGCAGTCCGCGGCACGCAGACGGGCCCCATGGGCCCTCCCAGGGCCCCCACGGCCCCCCAGGCTGGATGATCTGCCCAGCCCACCTCCCCTGCCCGTGCAGGACTGTCCCTGTCTCCCACTGGCTTTGGCGGCCGCGTGAAGAGTGCCAGCAAGGCCCCGCCGCTGCCCCGCAAGATCAGCCCCACGGTGTACGAGACGTTCCTGGAGCAGAGCGACGCTGCAACCGGAGGGAAGGTACTGCCCAGCCCAGGCCCCCGGCCCCCGGCCTCCCCTGCCCCGGTAACTGCCCGCTCTGCTTGCAGGCATCCATGTCGCCGACAGCGGATGGAAGTAAAGCGTTGAAGTCACCACCGCCTCCGCCACCGAAGTCCAAGCGAGCGTCGCAGCTCTGACCCGGTGCCTGCCCGCAACTGCACCGTCCACTCGCAGCCACCCCTGCCCACGGGGACAAAAAGCCCACGGTGCCCCTGCTCCCAGCTGGTTGCTGGACAAACGGCCCTGCTTGATCCTCGCCCGCTGGACCACCCCTCGTCCACCCCTCTTGCAGCATTTACACCACAAGCATTCTGCACAGCCGCGGGACTGCCTGTGCACCCCAGGGCAGCACAGGGCACTGCCACCCGGTGCCCAGCCAGGTCTGGCCATTGCCACCCTCCAGGTGCCCCCCGGGCTGGGACCCACTGCCCCGAATGCTTCCCCACCTGCATTCTGCATCAGCCCTCAGCCTTCCCGCTGGGGTGAGGCAGCTGCACGCCAGCCCGTGCCAGGACGCCTCTCCCGTGCAGCGCTGCGCTGAGCTCCCACCCATGCAGCCCCTTCAGCCGTGCAACCACACCATGCCCAAGGGGACCCTCCTCCCTCCACCTGGAGCTGCCAGCGGACCACCCCAGGCGCAGGGTGACAAGCAAGCTCCCTCTTCCCTCCCCTCCTGCTCTCCCCCCTGGGGGCAGCTCCCGTCCCTCGGCTGCCCACCCCATCCCGCAGCACCGGGACAAACCCTTCTGGCCTGGGCACTGCGACTGCACGGGAGCCAGCCAGGCCTGCGAGCGGGCACGGGCAGCATCGTGCTTTGCGGTGTCACCTCTCCTGCCAGTATCTGGCCTCGCAGCCCTGCCTGGGCCGGGCTGGCACTGCTGCCTCAGCCAGCGGCTCTGGGCTCCAGCCCCTGCCTCCCTGCTGCAGCAGGCCACAGCACTAATAAAGGACCAACGCATCAGCCGGGCACCCCGCGGTGGGGCTGAAAACCCTCTCTGAGCCCCAGCGCCCAGCCCTGCCCATGCCCAGCCCAACCAGGGCCCTTCCCACAGCCAGGCACCACCCCGGCACTGTGCCCCAGCACCCCAAAGAGCGGGGACTCGCCCTCCTGCAGCCGGAGCCCCGCGGCAGGGGAACCCCATGCTGCTGGGGAGCACGCTCTCTCTCCCCTGGCGGGGCTGTGCCGGGGTCTGGCGTGGTGCCTGCTGGCACGCTGCTCTGCCTCCCGAGCTGGCACAGGGCTGTTTATTCGCACGTGGTGCTGCAGGCTCAGGAGTCGTATTTACAGTCTTATGTTAAAGAGGAGGAACCCGGACCCGTAACCAAGGGATGGGGAGGGCAGGGGCTGCCTGCAGCAGGGGGCTGCCATCAGTGGGTTCCTGTCTACACGGGAGAGTAGAATCAGCTCCCTAGGCTGGGTCTAAAGAAGGAACAAGGGGAGATGGCGCCTCGTGCCACAAACACACAGTCTGGGAGCAGCTGGCCTGCGCTGGTGCCTGGCCTCCCTCCGGGCGCTGAGCGCAGGAGCGGGGTGGTAGAGCCACCCGTCTCTCGCCGAGCCCGGCTCTTCACAGCGGATTTGTCGAGGAGGCTGCCAGCCGCTTCCCGATGTAGATCCTGGATTGGAGAGAGCAACTGTAAGGCACCGGCGTGGGGACTGCCCGCCGGGCCTCAGCAAGCCAGCAGTGACGGAGACGACTGTGGCTGCTGGGAGGAGCGGTGCAGAGCAGCACCCAAGGATGAATGGTCCAGCTCCAGGAGCGTGGAGTTGTTCCCACGGGGACAGCCCCCTGCGTCGGGGCAGAGGCCCCCGGACAGCCCCAGGCTGCGCGGATGCCCAGGGCTCCCCCTGCCTGCGCCCAGGCGGTCGGTCCTGGCCAAGGCCACTCGAGAGCACAGGTCGGGCCCATCAGAAACTCACCCCAGTCCCAGGGTCAGCACGTGGCTGAGCAGCAGCGAGGGGATGAAGAGCAGCAGCAGCTCTGAACTGAAAAGTCTCTTCTTCCTCCCCACTGCGCCTCCCTGCAGGCTCCACAGCACCGGCTGGGGGGAGCACACAAAGGCAAACTCCCTGGGAAAAGTGCACGGTTGAAGGGGGCACGAGGGAAGAGCGCCGAGCGCTGCAGGGGGTGCGGGGACAGCAGGACGGGGGTGGCGAGGCAGACAGCAAGGGCGGGGGACAGCAGGACATGCTGGCGGGGGACACGGGCCTTACTTTGGAGACAGATGCTGAGGGCGGCGGGCACAGGCCCAGCCGAGGGATGCTGGCAGGCGTTGCTCCTTCTGCTCGGTTTCTTCCAGCACATCCCTCTAGGAGGAGGCACAGGGCAGGTGAGGGCAGGGGCATGGCCCGCACGGCGCGGCGGTGCGGGGGGCCAGCTCCCTTACCTGCTGGGGGTGCGGGCAGCCCAGCTGCGGCTGGCTGCGGGGAGGGAGCAGCTTGCTCTCCCCAGGCTGCTCGCTCGCCTGGCCGGCTCCCTCATCATCCCAGGCCGGGGAGCTGAGTGCGAACAGGGCGCTGCAAACATAACGCCATTGTCCCCAACCCTGCGCTGCCCCTCGGCCCCCTGACGCCCACCCGGGCCGGGCAGGACTGCGGGTGCCCGGCTCCTGCTCGGGACTCACCCGTCACCGCTCTCCGTCTCCAGCTGGGCCTCCAGCAGCATCCGCTCAACGTCAGCGTGGCAGGAGGAGAACCGCGAGGGCTCGGGCTCGGGGCACCCCGGGCCGCACCGCAGCTCCACCCAGGAGCCTGGGGGGGGCCGTCAGCCTGGCCCCCTGCCGCCCACCCCCCAGCGCACCCCGCTGCTCCGTCCCAGAGGCCCCCGCCCCGCCCGGGCGCGCTCCCCG